GTGAGGCTGTGTGACTGATGTTGACAGATACCACTGACGTGTATGGAGGGTGAGTCTCAAGAGAGGCTACTTTTGATGAGGCAATCCAAGAGATCTCATAACCACTGAAATGGGGTTTATTATATACACCCCCTGGGGCTAAGGAGATGGCTTACAATGTACACATGATGACCAGAGTTCAAATCCCAAGAGTTCACCTAAAAGCTGGACAAGTATGGATAGCACTGTAACCCCACACACTTTGTAGGCAGAGAGTAGAGCCTCAGGGCGACCTGGCTGTCTCAACAGACCAGCTGATCATCGCACTCTGGGCTCAACTGAGAAACCCTGGCTCAGTGGACAAGGTGGAGAGGGATTGAAGAAGACCTGGATGCCGATTTTGAGCTTCCCATGTGCAGCCATGCAAGCAAGCCTACACACATGAACACACACATATAGAAGCAAAAATACGTAAGCAAGTACTCCATAACTATACACTTCCCAGCGACACCAGTTAATCGGGCAGTTTGGACATACTAATTTGGGTTTGCATTGTTACGGAATCAGTCTCCCAAGCTGCATCAAAACGCAAGGCTGAAGCTTCATGCCTGTTAAGAACCCCTCCCCCCATTTCTGCCTCCATCGTAAGTGCCCGTTAGCCGTCAGTCTACTGTATTTTGCTATGAGTTTGAAATTTTCAGATGGTGTGTGAGTGGAGCCATATTTGCTTTTTTTGTAATTAGTCTATTCCATCCAACATAGGTCTTCATAGTTCAACTATAACTGTAGACAGCAAGATTCTCTCCTCTTAAGTCTGAATAATATTCAGGATGCATGTACCCACACTTCCTTTATTCATGTGTCCATCCATGTAGAGGACATGATATCACCTAGATTCCTATGACTAGTGTTGGCTTAGGCAGGGCTGTGCAGTGAGTTGAGATTTCCACATCAATTTTCACCACCTTTGAGATGTAACTAGAGCTGGATCAGATAGCCCCAAGGTTTTAATTTTTCTGAGTGGTCACTATCCTGTTTTCCAGAGGTTGTAACCTTTTTCCATATTACCAGAAGTTCATATAGGCAGTGATTTTCCCCCATCCCTTGCCAAGACAAATCATAGTTTCAAACTACAGAGCAGTCTGTGGGGCTGAGGGCTGACAGTCACTAACACAGTACATGGAGGTGCTCAATCCTGTCATGTTCTTCCTGACACAGGGGATTTGCACTACACAGAGCCTATCCCACGGAGTCACTTTCATCCCATTCTGCAGCCACTCTCTGTGTGCACCTTTATTCTAGTTGTCTCTTAGGCTCTGACAGAAGGTAGCTGTGGTCTAGAAGGTAATAGCACTTTGCAGAGTCGGTTTCGAAGGAGCGAGCTCATGGTGACCATGAAGAATGTGCAAATACTTTCCCATGGGTTCAAATCTGTTTTCCAGTTCAGGATTGAAGAGTTGAGCCCGCTCATCTTTATTTGCAGATGTATTTAATTATGCTAATTGTCCCTATGTTTGTCTGCCAACATATCCATGTAGTTTTATTACACCACTGTTTAGTAATTTGGAAGGTTTTGACTGAGTTTGTGGCCTGCCCCTCTCCTCTCTCCCATTAATCCGACATATGGCGACAAGTGTAACTTGAGGTATATGTAAGCATCAGAGCTCACTCCAAACAATGGCAGTTTTAAAGGAGGTATACCCTAAGGCCAAACAACCCATTGCCTTCCGTTTTCAGGGAGCTAGAAAGCCAGATGTGGCATTTGACTGTGGCGCTCGTAATTCAGCATCTTAAGTGGATGAATCTCATCTTATTGATGTTGTTGTAATGATTGTGTGCGATCATGTGCTTGTATGTGAGTGCATGTGCTTGTGCCTGATGTGTGCACAGTGCGTGCGTGCGTGCGTGCGCGCGTGCGTGCCTGTAAAATAAAGCTGTTACCCATCTGGAAAAAAAAATAAAGCTCTCCTGACACAAACATCCTTTTACTTTTTAACATTTGATATCTGTGTACATAGATTATCTCAAACCTTCAAAGTCTACCAAAAACAATATATGTTCAAATCTATAATTCAAGAAAATGTAATGTTAAAACATGACAATATCGATAAATTATTTCTTGTGGAAAGTTGGCTCCTATGGAATACAGGTAATGGTTTTTATCCCAATGAACCCACTGGAGATTTAAAAATATCAGACAATGAAACACAGTATGTGTTTCCTACCAAACTTCCTGCTCCAGCTTAGAAACAAGTCTGTTCCTGAATTGTGGTCCGTGAGTAGCAACACTCTGTAGCCCAGTGACCCTCCCAAATGTTGTGAAAAAGTAACTCACTCCATATTGCTGGACCAAGGAAAGACTCAAAACCAAGCTGTGCTGTCTGCTGGAGGTGTGTAGGTTTTGTACCCTTGTATAGTTGAAAACTCAGAGAGCAAACCATTGGAAGCAGAGACGGTCTGTATTGATCGTTGCTGTGGTAGAGTACACCTGTCAACCCTTTGCTGTCTGCAGAACCAGCTCCCATTATTTTCTCCAGAAACTGCTGAAGTATGTAAAACCTTGAAGAGTGTGTGAAGCGATAAATGTTTAGAAAGCTCCTGACATTTTGCTGCTCACACACTATGTAATTTAATGGAAAATGACATATGAAGATATACCCCCTTGTAAGATGACTACTTATAAATTCAAGAATTCTAAAGCCTGTATCTTAATCCATGGAAATCAGAGTTTAAACAGACCATACTTTAAACAAGAAGTATGCCTCTCTGCATTTATAGCAGATATACAGCATAGACATGACTCTAGGTTTATTATATTTCTTACTAACACTGTGCATTTATGGCAGATATTATTAACAGGACAACTTCCTGAAATTATTAACATCTTTAAAGTATCCCACCTATCATATAAAATAATAATAGACTTTCACTAAGCTGTTTTTCATATATTATATTGAAGGAGTTGTGTGTTAATTAATAATATGCATACACTTCATATTTATTTGTTTAAGGTTTATTTTATATTTGCTTTTTCACAAACTACTATCTTACTACAAAAGTATTTTCTTAGATTTGGATTTTTCAGAAACTAGAAGTATTGCTCATTTTCATTCATTGATTTAACAGATAATTATTAAAGTGTACAAGGTATCATTAGTTGTAAACTTAACCCAGACCAATGTCAGACAGCACACATAGCCTGTAACTCTGGCTCCAGAGGATCCAGTGTTGTCTGGAGTCTGGGGGCATCCCCATGTGTGTGCATACACACAATACACACACATACACATAACTTTAAAATAAAAACCCTTTAAAATTAAAGACATCAAGACAGTCTGGATAGTCTTCTCCGAGATGTCCGTTTCCACCATCTTGAACAATGAGGCAGATCTTCAGTGAGTTAGCAGTGTTGTGTAGTTGAATAGGATGTATATTGAAAGGCACCATAGTCTGGTTAGGCAACACCAAATGCGTTCGTAATCTGAAATCTAGAGTACAGAAATAAAATACTTACAGCAGAAAAAAACGCCTGCTGAATGTCAACTATAATTCTTATACTCTGTCGAATTTCTACATCCATTAAATAAGCTAGACTAAGGATCGAACCAAAGTCCAAGTACATCCAAAGACAGTGCTCTTTGCCCTGATGGTTTTGGCGGGGGGGGGGGGGTTGTTTTGTTTTGTTTTGTTTTTTGTTTTGTTTTTAACAACACTACTTGGATATGTAATAACAGTTCTTGGTTAGAGTCAGTTCTCACACCACCCTTAAGATGCTTTCTGGAAACACCAGTCTTTTTCCAGATCACTTGTCAATTCCAATGTATATGATCAAAATAGCAAAACAAACTTCTCTTTCATAATACAGTAGCATGGTGGTCATTGGGTTTCTCTCTGAGTATGTAGCCTTGCTGAGAAAATCATTTCTAAGCTATCTCCATGTACTGGAGGTCAATGTCTCGTCATTATTAGTGGTTAAAATGCTATTGACATAGTTCTCTAAATATTTTATACAAATTAATAAAAATAATATATGAAAATTTAATTTATTTAGAATTTGTACACTTGCAATCATACATAGCTCTCAAGTTATCTTTTCTAGATATTTTAAACAAGGAATCGATAAACAAAAAATTTAATAACTGTATATAAATTATAATTTTATAAAATTGTCATTATTCCCAGTTCAAAAACTCACATGACTTGTTTGATAGGTGCATGGTATTGGATTGAATCACATGCTATAAATTCAAAGTTGCTTCTTCTCCATTTAAAGTGTGGCACACACCTGTAATCTCAGCAAGTAGAAGACAGAGGCAGGTGGATCTCTGTGAGTTCGAGGACTGTCTATGTAGAGAGAGGTCCAAGACAGGGCTGTTGATAGATAAGGAGAGAATGGGAGGTTGAGGGACTGAGGGAGAGAAGGGGAGAGAGAGGGAGATGGAGAGGGAGAGAGAGGGAGAGAAGGGGAGAGAGACAGAGAGAGGGAGAGGGGGAGGGAGGGAGAGGGAGGAAGGATATTATACTTTTGTTTTACCTATCTAAGTTCACCCTGATCATTCCATATGCCATCCAGTTCCTCTGTAAAACAAGTGTTTTGCTTTTTAGCACAATCCAATGGAAAAATCATGGTTTTAGAGACCATGACACAATTGTAAAAGCGTGATACATCTTTGACCAGCCTGAGTTGGTGAACGCTGCTGCAGATGATTCTACAGCTTTCTTAAAATGTGGACCACAGACAAGCCAGAGTAAATAGTGTCTCCCACTTAAGTCCTTTCTGGTACCAATTAACTGAGTGACACTCAATCATTATTGAAGTGCTGTCGTCGTGCAGAGCACTGCTGTGTAGGATGCATGTGTTAGAGGAATCCTGTTTATAGTTTGTATTGCACAATTCTTCTTGCTATTTCATAAGATGGAATGTGAACTTTACATATGAGTCTTGTTATGAATGTGCAAAGCACTTGCCTTTGGAGTTTGGAACAACAGATCTTTAAACAACTTGTATGCTTTACCCCCAGCAATGCATCTATTTGGCCTCAACTGGCACTTACAGCAGACCGAAAATGACACATTCGAGAATGGAAAAGTGAATTCTGACACCATGCCAACAAACACTGTATCGTTACCTTCTGGCGACAATGGTAAGAGAAAGAATCGTGGAGCCTGTGGTTTTTTATTTTTTTCTTTAACGTCACTCTCCATAAAGTTGGCTTTAACTGTGCTTGCATTCAGCTTATATGAAAAAGAAGAAAGGTTTGGAGGTGGTAGATATCATCTGCTCATGAATATTTTTATTAATTTACTTGAAAGTTCAACACGTTTATCACAGAACTAATACAACTGCCTGCCTTCGGCAGCTGATGGTTTGTCTCTGATTTTCGAGCATGTTCTGAGTTTTGTTTTTGGGAGATGACTACAGTACGGTTCAGAATGTCATCTCTTGTGGTACCTTGGGTATATTATGTTTTCTTAATTGGCCTTGCACATGGAGTTGGGCTAGCATACTAATCTTATTATGAAAGCTTTTAAATATATACTACATTAAAGGATTGTAACTTACTGACCTTTCCCTCAGTTGTCCTTCCTCCAAACCTTTTTAGAGTTTGCACTTTGAGGTAATAGAGACTTTTCAATCAATTGTCTCTGAATAAAAATGGAATTTATGTGGCTAGAGAATGCTGTATTTCATTTTTCTAATATAAACCCCTTCAAAATGGACACGTGCATACATCCATCCGCGTTGGGCGTAGTTTCAGGTTGTTTATGGTGGCGCAGGTACACACCTCAGCAGGGATCTCCCCTGCTGCTTTGAAGAACATGCTGGTAAGTTCTTTCTCAAAGCAAAGTCCCAGATATCATTGTCTTCTGACATGCAATGAATTATTTGCTTTAAGGGCTTTCCTTTGCTCTTCTTCCTCTGCCCCCTCCCTGGGGTATTTGAGCTATGCTTTCCCACCAGTGATCTGCATCTTGCACACCTCAAATCTTTGCAAGGAAAGAACAAAGCCACCACCTCTGTTTGATGCTCTCCCTTACTGGTGGGCTGAAGATTCGAACGTGTTCTCAGTTGATAACCTTTCATCTTTACTTTAACAATGCTACTTTCTGACAGCGGTTCTCAACCTGTGGGTCTGTGACTCCTTTGTGTATCAAGGGACCCTTTGCCGGGGGGTTGCCTAAGCTTGTCTGCATATCAGTACTTACATTATGATTCAAAGGAGTAGCAAAATTACAGGTATGAAGTAGCAACAGAGATAACTTTATGGTTGGGGGGGGTCACCACAACATGGGGAACTGTATTAAAGGGTCACAGCATTAGAAAGGTTGAGAACCACTGTTCTGTCTACAGAACATCTCTTCCACCTTAAGGAGACGAAGGCATTTTTGACCTTAAATTATTCACAATACTAGTAAATACTCCCCCATATGGAAACTTTCGTACAAAGAACTATAATCTGGTATCTTCCATGTCACCACATCTCATCACTGTAGAGTAGGACAATGGCAGAGGAGAAATATTTCTTAACTGAAACTGCAAGTAGCATGTCTCATAGAAGTAATGCTTTAATTAGTGTGACAGCTATATATTTTTATACATTGTCACCAAGTGTAAACAGATCAGGAAGCTACACAGGAATTAAGATCTGTTTGTTTGTGTTGACAGAAATGGAGGCTATCTTTTTAAGTGGATGATTAGCACAAAGTTAGTCAAATAGGTCTTATTACTTACACCAGGGATTATTTTTACAAATAGCAAATCATAACTCTAAGGAAATCCATATTTATTGTGGACATTTTGTTTATTGATAGCATCCAAACCTGTTGTCCTTAAAAGGAAAACATTGTCGCTAATTAGCATCACCAAACTCAAAATGCAGGACACTGAGAACGCTGCCGGTGCAAAGATGCTCACTCGTGGCTGCTGGCGTTCTTTTCTAGGGAATACTAGCTCACATCAGCATCTCTCAGTGCACATAAGCACGTGTTCAAATCCAGGTCCCTCCACCTATTTACTTTGGTACATTGGGCAAAGTGACTCTTCGTTCAGATTTGCAAGGAAATTTAGAAAAAAACTATCTGAGATCCTCTCAGCTCCAGAACGTTCAAAGCACACCGTAGGAATACAGTTTCTATCTAGTGTAGCTCCCGAGAGAACTCCAAATACAGTTACTAAGCCTGTTGACAGAAACAGCAGAGAGAAATACATGTCCACGAACCCTGCATACCCGAGAACATGGGCATCACCTATAAATGAAATTCCTAAATTCATATTTGTCTTTCCGTCGAGAAATACACTCCAGTGCTTTCTACTCTGTTTCATTATATCTCCCTCAATAAATGCTAATAAGAAAATAATGTCAGAGTTTATAGAGAGCTAAAGTTTCAGAAGCTACTCCTCTCAACTGACAGATTGTTAATATGTACCACTGCAGTAACTGTGTACACGTTCATCCACAGTAACGTTCCCATCCTTGTATAAAGAAATCTTTTCCCAGGCCTCCCTTTCCTGATTTACTTGTGAGCTCCAGAGAAGTGGCCCTCCAGTTTGGCCACAGAACCATGGAATTTATGGAAATTTCAGGTCGAGGATAGGAAAAGCTATGTCTTAGCACACGTGACCTACACAATTCACTCGTCTACTTTATTATTTCCCAGGTACAGCACCAAATGCCCATTACTGTAAAGATGTAACTCTGTTTTTCAAGTAGAGACTCTTGGTATTTAGTTCTTCAGTGGGCTGGGAAGAGACTATTTGCATGAAAGGAGGAACCTATAATCTACTTCTTGTAATGAAAAGGAGGGAGGGAGGGAGGAAGGGAGGAAGGAAACAAAGAGAAAAAGAAAAGGAAAGAAAGGAAGGGAAAGTGAAGGGAAGGGAAGGGAAGGGAAAGGAAAGGAAAATGAAGGAAGAGAAGAGACGTGCCAAAGAGATTATG